GAGAGAGAGAGATGCATATTGCACCTATTAAACAAGCAATCACGATTTGCAACGACTAAAAAAAAATGAAAGCACCATCACCACCACCATTCATGAGAAACACAACATACATGGATTATATTATGGAATGCAAAAACATCCACATCATACATAGTTTCAGTTGAAGAAGATAGAAAAGCCTTTTGAAGAAAACACCAAAGGTTTATTTCTATAGAAAAATTTGACAAGCCAGAACTATTACTTTCGGCATTATTCTTCTCCAAGCTGCGAAACAAATCAAGGCTGGCTGAATGAATATAATTGCTTTGTAACATATATCGGACAAACTAGTGAAATACAAGCCCTCGGAAAAGGAATACCCAAATGGCCTCAACAAACCCTATAAATCAAATCAAAGACAAGAATGTGACATGATCATGTATAATCTGCACAATCGACTGGCTATCTCGCATCATTAATATTTCACACAACATCACCTCTTGCTGCTACCTTCCTTTTTGCTTCTTGTCCAAGGATAGCCCCTGCAAAGAAAGTGCACTAGATGCACTCTTTCCTTCTAGCCTTTTTGAAGACATCAGTACCCTTGCCATACCCTTGCGTGCAACAGCCTTGCGTTCTGCCCTGCGGTTGAGCAGCTTCCGATCGAGACGCCAATATGAATAAGGCTCCAGCTTGTCCTTCTTCTTGACATCTCCACCAGCCCTTTTGCTGGTATACTCACTACCTGCGTAAACCCAACCAGAATCTGTTGTTTTACGACGCTTCTTCCGAGTCATTGCCAGAGAACTTGAAACAGAACGGTTGTCTGAATGGCTTCTGGTATCCAAATCATTTTCTGAAGACAAGCTCTTCTCCCTTTTAGGCTTGAAACTATCCTCACGGACAATGAGACGGCCATCAGCACCTATTTCTGGCTCATCGGTGGAGGTTTGCTTTCTTTTGAGATGGGTCACGGATCGCAGGGCTAATCTTGTCTTCTGCCGGTCTAGCAGGTCGAGTGGATCATCTTCGAATTGGTCGAGGAAATCTTCTGGCAAGCTCTTAGCTGCTTGGCGCTTTCGGATTGACCTACACATAAAAATATTCACCAGAATAGCATAGCGTTCAAACATGATAGTGAATAATTTTTTCCTACCGTAACCTCATTTAAAAAACTAGTCAACCCAACTGTCAAGCAAACACAAATACAATACCATATTCACTAAAAAATAGCAGATTCATGAAATGAATGGCTCCTCATGGCCAAGAAAATTCTACTGTGCAGTCCTAAGTTATTCTCACAAGTAGCATGTTTTAGTGAATGTTTCCAATTGATGAAACTAGACATCATTCATACCTTACAGATAAAGACCGCATACTAGAACGAGCAAAAGCTTTAGTCTGTCGACCATAAGTTGTTTTGGCCACTGCCAGTTCTGCATCACTATCATCATCCATATCTTCGTCTCCAGATTCAGAAAAGATACGAGAATGATTCCATTTACTATGCCTGAAAATTTAAATAAAACAGAATCGGTATCAGAACATGCAACAAGGCAGTATTATCAGGCTACAGAAGAGGTAACTTTAACCATCTGAGTGAACTAGAGATGCAGCTTTTGCTCTGGTCAAGTCCACAACTTTGAGTGAACAGATTTGTGATTTCAAACGCATGACACGATGGTCCTCTTATCAACTTGTCAAACCTTTATTCTCATTGATCAAATTAAAGAAAAGGTATCACAAAGTTGTCTTTAGTGATTCTTTTCAACTTTCTCTTACTATGATTATAATAAATATTCCATTTATGGAACAAATATTAATTATAAGTCAATTAGAAGCATATGCAGCAAAGACAAACTCCTCATATTTGTGTGTCATCTTAATATTAGTTCACACACAAATAACTGAATAACCAGTGCCAACACCATCAAGTCATGGAAAAATGCAGCATCAGATCCTAATTGCAAAGATGGGGTGCTAACAGAAACTTGTTTGAAAATGTTCAACTAGATATCAGCTGGCACGGTACCATTCTGTATGACACAGATGAAGCTAAGGAAACAGGATAATAACTGTGTACCAAACATGAAATTCTAACAATTCATAAACTTAACTCAAGAGATATAGCTTGTGACCTGATTGCAGAACTGTCTGCTGGTATGATATGCCTCTTGGCCTTATTAATTAAAAAAACATGCCAATATGAAAGAACTGCCAGACAGCTTCAAGAGTCGGCCAAATTATCAAATTTATTTAGGCTTCTCAATTCTAAATTGCCTAGAATCTCAGTCCATTCTAATTTGGTAAAAAAACTATAACTGGCTCCAATGTGGATTCAGAAATATGTGCTCTGTCAGTGGTACTTCTATATCCTGATTATTTCTGCCTCTTGTCATCTCCATCTATTTCTATCTTAAATTGTCCCAAGAATTTCCTCATATGACTACTATTTAAGAGGTTCATGCTGCATTCTGATTCTTTACTCATTTGATTTAAGTTACTATAACATTTCATCAACTACACAATTTCTCACAGATTTTCAAGGAAGCATAGGCTTCAAAATATTTTTTAAAGGAAAACCCTCCATAATCACTTAAGAGTCAATGACGATAGTTTTGTCAACAAGAATCATTTAGAAAAATATTATCTATGGTTAGCTACGAGAAATTTGTGACATTTTTCAAAATCGTGAAAATAAAAAGGCCTTGTCTATTTCAATCAGTAGGTTCATGAAAACATATATGATGAACTAATAATACCTACTCACAAGTTACAATTACCATGAAAAAACGTTATTAGTGTACATTACCTAGAGATGCTTGTTCGCGAAGCAAGAGATTCCCCATCCTCAGATTTGGCTTTTCGCTCCTTTCTCTCCTTGATCTATCATTAATACTAAGATCAATAATAAAATGCTTACAAAGTTCAACAAAAATTAAGGGACCTAAACAAGTGACCTTCCGAATATTGGTTAGTAGTTTCATGTGTTCTTCAGGCATAACTGCTCTCACAGCATCAAAACCACATTTTCTCACAAGCATTTCAAGCAGCAACTTGACCTGTGATAATATAAAAATAAGAAGAGGACAGTCTGAATGTGATTCGGATTCAATTTCCTAGATGTAACACTGATCCATTACAAAAATGAATTTGACTAAATCTGGATTTTCTCACATCCAACCTGATAAGCCTACTATACTAGCCCACTAATTTGGATAGGATCCACCTTTAAACATGCAACCAGATTTTTAGTGCCAAGTTACTAGTAGCAAAATACTAAAGTCACCTCTTATGTACAAACACAGACCAGTAAAGACCCTATAATTTTCATAATTTGGGAACCACACCATTATTTACATTAAAAAAATAGTTTAGTAAATGTATCAACCTTCTCAAGAAGATCATTGCCATATTTTTGACAAGTGACTCAATCAAGAAAGGATAGTTCTGAACTTCATCATGGTAACAAGATTTGCAGCAAGGATCAAGTTTTAACAGAAAACGAAAGAAGAATAATACCTTGGCCTTGAAATGATTATTGGTATCATCTTGCCTTTTAAAGAGTCCCTCCACAATCGTCTTTAAGTGCATCTGTATGCCATCATCGTCGGATTTCACCACCAATACCTTGATGAGACCTAAAATGGCCTGCAGTATGTAAAAAATAGGTCCGAGTACTAAACACCAAGTTTTCGCATGATCAAAAATTCGTGTAGTGTATAACGTGTACTTTGAAAATTTCACGGTTCTTTCTTTGCAGGAGAAGAAATACAGATGGCAGCAAGTTGTAAGCTGGACCAATGAGATCTGAGAATTCATATGCCAAACAAGCTAACCCTTTAACTGCAGCACTGATCATATGTGGTGTTTCACCAGCAAGACCGCCAGCTATCTGAAATGTAGCACAAGTTATTGATAAACCATAGAACCATCTTTGGGAGAATTAGAAAGAAAGCTACCAATGTTTAACTATCATCCACATTGATAATTCAAAAATTTCCAAAAGAAATAGATTGGTAAATGCTTGACGGTCAGGCAAGCTCTGATTACCAAGTTAAAAAATTGCAGAAGGTTTTCTTTTCTCCCTCCTCTTTCCTCATCTTCACAAGCATGACCAATTTCAACAAGCAAGTCATAAGCCTTGTTCCTTGTCTTTCTATTGACCTGCAGGATCAAAAAAATGTAGGGAGATTTGTTCGTTAATCAAATAATTTTTCACAAATTATAAAAAAAGGTTGTTACTGAAAAAGTAGAAGTTCCAAAAATACAACTAGCCAGGAAAGCGAAACAAAAAAAAAAACACAAAGTCAAACTCATGTACATAGATTTCTCGATTTTAAATTCCCTAAAGTGAGATGAAGCAACAAAATAGCAAGAAAAAAAAATCAGACCAGACCATCAAACCAGAAAAAAAGATGCACATACACATGACAGAAGGCTCTTGGTGAAGTTAGAAACTTACCATAGATTCCTCAAACAGCATGTGTTTGGACCGATCAAAATAAGTGCTCACAAGTATTGAATGAAATAATCATGGCCAAAAATTTTGGTTTACGTTTAAACCAACAGCTGGATGGAAACATTTCAGTGGATTTTGGTGGTTGAGTGTCGGTGTTGGCCACATCAAAAACAATATAACAGAAATTGGTAGAATTAAGGCAAAAAGATAACCAGATTTCAGAAACAAGAGCAACTACAAGGAACGTCATGAAAACAAATAACCAGATTTCAGAACCAAGAGGAACTATGAAAAACATAACATGATACTCAATATCCTTGTCACCATTACCACTGGAAGTTGACAATACTGGTGTGTGTAAAATATCCGGTGCTTCAGTACTCCAGAAAACAATGTCATCATATCGAATGTATCATACCAATTTTTCTATTCATCACTGCATAATTATTTCTAAAGGCGACGTCGCCTCGTTTTTCTTCACGCATGGGAAGTAGTGATTTAAAAAGCGCTAGGCGCCAAAAGGTGTCAACGTCCAAAAAAAGCCCGAGGCGCTCGCCCGAGTGATGCAAGACGCTAAAATATAAAAATATATAATATAATTAATAAATATAATTATTTATTAATTACTAGTATACAGTTAACAATATACTGTTAACAGTATACTATCGAGTCAATGTGAGAACAGTGTGAGTAAAAGTAAGACCGAGGCTGCTGAATAAGAGCAGCGGCAAGCAACAACAGTGGTAGCGGCAACGGTGAGCAGCAACAGCAATGGTGAGAAGCGATAGTGGTAACGGCAAGTAGCGACAGTGGCAACGACAACGGAGAGAGGCAGCGGCAGTAGAGAGAAAATGTCAGCGGCAAAATCACGAGCAATGTTAGGGTCGGGGAAGTCGCGAGTGGGATGCTGGGAGGCTGATATTGATGCTTTAGTTGGTTCAATTGAACCAACTAAAGCACCGGAGACCAAACCAGACCTAAAACGTTGGTTTGATTGCCTGGTTTAACACGGGCGCTCGCCCGAAGCACTCGACGCTTGGGCTCTGGTGAGCGCCCAAGCGGCGCCTCTTCAAAGCGTGCCTCCTGGACATGAAACAAGGCGCTCGGGCGAGGCAAGAATCGCGAGCAAGGTTAGTGTCGGGGAAGTCACGAGAGGGATGCTGGGAGGTTGATATCGATGGTTTAGTTGATTCGATTGAACCAACTAAAGCACCGGAGACCGAACCAGACCTAAAACGCTAGTTCGGTCGCCTGGTTTAACCCGAGAGCTTGCCCGAAGCGCTCGGCGCTTGGGCTCGAGCGAGCGCCCAGGCAACGCCTCTTTGAAGCACGCCTCCTGGACATGAAACAAGGTGCTTGGGCCTTGGCTTGCCTTGCCCGAGCGCCTATTGAAATCGCTAGGGAGAAGAAACCCTTTTCCCCACGCGCCAAAAAGGGCTACGAGGCAGTCGCCCCTTTTTTTTACTTATATATATACATAAGGATTGAAATTTCGTACCGTACCGAAGTTTCGAGATTCGCTCGGTATGATACGGTACTGTATACCGAGCGGTATATTTCGATATACCGCTCGATATATATATATATATATATATATATATATATATATATATATATATATATATATATATATATATATATATATATA